TTTGAGGTGTAACCCATTCGCTTCTCTTTGTACCATGACACTTCCTCCGTAGTGTTAACTCCTTCGATTTGGATCAGGGACGTGTTTGGGTACTGGTTCGACTTCGACCTATCAATATTAACCCATAAAATGTCTTAAAGGACACAATTACCATTAACTACAAAGCATAAGCAACACCATTTGCAACTTATCACACACTAAGTGGTAGATCATTTGCTTATTCCCAATTGGTAAACGTGTAACTCGAGACTATGATTATAAGCAAAATCATGATCATGCCACATTTTGTAGAGTAATGAATTTGATTAGTCAGGAAGTGAAGAAAAAGGGAGCTGCTTTTCTCAGGAATTAACAATATCTGAATCCCATAAGCAACTCATCTAGGGTTATAACAGTAATATCAACCATGATTCACTATCTATTCTATATGAGCCAGATCAAATACGACTTCAATCTAGTAAAGAGTTCAAAGAAGAACAAATCATGTAAATAATGACGAACCATTTGTAGCCAAGTATTGTTCCTCTGACGTAGAGTCTGCATCACCGAAATCAAAAACTTCATTAAGCCTTAAATAGAGAAAAATGGGTAAAACAGAGATCGAAACTCATCGGGAAAAATCAGCTGAGAAGCAAATGCTGCAGCGATTTTCCCATTAGCAATCCGAAGTTTAAATAGAGACTGAATCAGAGAATAATGAAGAAATAAGAAGCATTGATGAATAACCTGCCCACGTTCTCCTTGTCGTCCTTTAAGTGAGCTATTCACTGGTTTGTAAAAAAAGGAAAACAAAAAAAAATCTCACGCCTATTAACAACCGGTTCTTTCGTGCCCGTTAAGAGCTTTTATTTGGTCCGGTTAGCGTGTATCTTTAATTTTAAAATTTGTTATATATATTTACAGCTAAATGTTTACGTCAACGGGGATGTAGCTCAGATGGTAGAGCGCTCGCTTAGCATGCGAGAGGTACGGGGATCGATACCCCGCATCTCCATTTTTTATATCAATTTGTTTTCTCTGTTTTAGCCGACTCTTTATTCAATTTTTTGTTTAAACGTGAATCACCTTTAAGAAATGTTCTTTCCCATATTCATTTTTAAATCAATCTTCTTCGTTGACTCGAACCATAAAGCTTTGTAATAAAGACCAGCGAAATGGCATATTCAGCTTCAATACGTTTCTTGCGTAAAAGAAAACACAAATGGAGTCAACTCACACCGTTGCATTTGATCGTTCTAATCAACTAAAAGCTTTCGACGAGACCAAAACCGGCGTGAAAGGCCTTGTCGATGCCGGAATCGACGAGATTCCGTCTATATTCCGTGCACCTCCGGTTACTCTAAAAAGTCCAAAACCACCTTCCTCGAGATCATCTCAGTTCACGATCCCAACAATCGATCTCAAAGGAGGCGGCACGGACTCGACGACCACGCGCCAAGACTTGGTGGAGAAGATCGGAGACGCGGCGGAGAGATGGGGTTTTTTTCAGGTGATCAATCACGGGATCTCGCTCGATGTGCTTGAGATGATGAGAGATGGGATTCGTGAGTTTCACGAACAAGATCCAGAAGTGAAGAAAGGTTTCTACTCTCGTGATCCAGCTAGCAAGATGGCTTACAGTAGCAATTTCGATCTGTTTAGCTCACCGGCCGCGAATTGGAGAGATACACTCGGTTGTTATACCGCCCCTGATCCTCCCAAACCGGAGGATTTACCCGCCGTTTGCGGGTAAGATTTTCGGATTTGTTTGAAATCATTTGGGATTATGTTCTGCTTTTTCTTGGTCATTGAAGAACGTCGTACTTAGAGCTATACTTTTATGAATTTCAATTTCAAAAATCAAATAGATTGGTACGGTTGGATGGGTCCGATTGGGTTGATTTTTTTGGGTCGAATTGGTTTTAGTTTGGATTGGACCGGTGTGAGTTCTGACTTTTATACTATGCTTAATTTCATTAAAACATGTCAATTTCATCATAATAGACTGGAAATTAAGATCATGTAGCATCATAATCTGTCTCCATTATAAGAGTTCGAAAGATGAAAAAAGTTATATGTCTTATGGTTTCTTGGTGAGCAATTTTGTCAGGGAGATGATGATTGAATACTCAAAGGAAGTGATGAAATTAGGTAAATTTCTCTTTGAGCTTCTATCAGAAGGTTTGGGGTTAAACACTAATCACCTCGAAAACATGGACTGCACCAACTCTTTGCTTTTGCTCGGCCATTATTACCCACCGTGTCCTCAACCTGACCTTACTTTAGGCTTAAGCAAGCACTCGGACAATTCTTTTCTCACTGTTCTTCTTCAAGACCATATCGGAGGGCTTCAAGTTCT